ATAATAACACTTAAGCTTAAACTGAATCTAGAACGTTAAAAACAAGCTACTTTCCAGTACTAAGATGGTAAGCTTTTGAAAATCAGGCATTTTTTCTCTAGGTTTCCAGAGTCTAGTTACATATTGATTGTTATATAACAAGTCTACATAAAAAAAAATTAAATGTCAAATTTGAACTTAAAATGTTTATTGCCTAAAGTAAGAGACAACTAGAAAATAGAGTAGTATTATTCTGAGAAGTTTTTCTTTCTGATCTTTCTTTTGTAGGGATGGAGGGAAAAAATCTTCAACTTACCACCTTGAAAAGAAAACTTTATATTTTTTCAAAGTCTATGTTGGCAATTCTTTAAATTTTTTTTTTCTTTTTTTGCCAGAGGGTGTATGCACTTGCCAGAGAGAAGGAGCTAGAGAAAGCATCTCCTAATGGGCATGGCAACCCCACCCACCTTCCTTCTCTATTTTGTCACTGTTTCAGGATTTGAGGTACACACACACACACACACACACGCACACACATGGTTTTCCAGCCACTAGGGCCAGCAATCAAGCTATAATGATCCGCCATGTAGGATCCAACTCTTTAACCAGTAGGTCACAGGGTTAGCCTTAAGTTGGGAACTCTAGCATTTACTAAGGACCTATAGTGTGTTAAATGCATTGCCTGTACCAACACACCAGTGCCTATAGCCTACACACTAATGAATTAATAGACCGTGTCTTTCTCTCTCACACACACACACACATGCATGCATGCACACAAAGAGAGACAGAGGGAGCGCACTGGCTGTAACGTGGTAAACTTGTGAAATGATTCTGCTCAGTCATCTGCCTCCACTCTCAGGGATGCCCGTCTCGTGTCTTTTCCAAGCTACTAGCTCACTCTGTATTCCTTTATGACTTTAGTGCCCTCTCCCCCTACTTGCAAAGTCTTTAAGTCCACGTCATGACTAGAATTCTCCTTATCAAAAGACAGGGCTACTATAGGAGATTCCAACATAATTGGCTGAAAATGGAGTGTATATTTTAATACTCAGAACAAATAGAGTAACACATAACAGAAAGAAAAACCTAATCTTTGTTCACACTATTGTTTCCAAAAATGTGAGATTTCACCGTGGTGCCAAACTATACAATGACTAACTAGCGAAGCCAATAAAACATGACAGATCCTGTAGGGTTAGGTAACAATGAAAGCCTAAAGGCTCTGTTAGCTATGTTCCTAAAGACTTCTTGCCATTAACTACCTATGCTTGTAATTAAAGACTAGCACACTCACAACATTGAAGGTGGCTTTAAAAAAAAAAGAAGTTGTTCAGTACTTGAAAAATACTACTACATTCATATGCATCAAAAAGTGGAAGGAACTATAAGAATAAGAACCAACACCTTTAGTGCTCTCCTTGAAATTCCAATTATATAAAATTTATATAAAGTAATTTTTAATATAAGAACGTGTATGAATGCCTTGAGTAAACAGATGCCTGAAACGGTCTTGTAATTGTTCATTTAAAACTGAGAGACTTTGGACGCCAGCAGGTGGCATGGTGACTAAAGTACTGGGTTTCCACATGACCATGGTTTGCGTCCCAGATCCAGTGACTTAAGAATCACAATACCCAGAATCCACGGGGAGAATAGAGAGGATTGCAGCAAGACCATGCCCTCTGGAGGGTGATTTCTCACTTTCCCTCTCTCTGACCAGAGCATGTGCCTTATGGCAAAAACCTAAAAAAGAAAAGCACTTTTTGAAAAAACCAAAAAAAAAAAAAAAAAAAAAAAAAAAAAAAAAAAAAAAAAAAAAAGGAAAGACCTCACTGTATCTGAAAAGAGCAACCTACTGATTTCAGAAACATAGATATTTTTACCAGCAGTTAGTGTAATGGCTATGACACTGGACTCCCACGTAGCCGACTGCGGTTTGAGTCCCAGACCCGGTGGCTTAAACTCATGCCGGATATGCGTGCGTGCGTGCCCAAGATCCCGAGAGGAGAATGGAGGAGAAGGGATTGCAGTGTGGCCATCCTCCCTGGAGGGTAATTTCTTGCTTTCTGTCTCTGTCTCTCTGGC